CAGTACTTCTAATATATGAAGTGCGGCAGAAGAAGGCAGTAGTACTGTGGCTACACTTTAAATACCTCGTAAAATGTGGCTACATTTTAAATAACATAATCAAAAGTTGCCATTTGTGGTGCCATTTCTACCGGTGAAGCCCAACTAAGAAACCCCAAACCCATCAGCCCTTTACGTAAAAATTGCACGGGGCACCTTATTTGGTCGCTCCCATTTAACCTATACCTATTTTTTTTAAAGTTTTAACTTGTACCCACTTTTTAAACAACTTCAGCCCCCTTTCTCCTCTTCCTTCTCCTCCTTCGCTTTCTTTTTCTTCTTCTTCTTCTTCTTCTTCTTCTTCTTCTTCTTCCTTGTGCTGCTGTTGGTGCTGCTATGAAACTTCAGTTCATGGGATGATTGCCATAAGTATGTTTATTAGATTATTTAAAAATAAATTATAAATAATTACTTAAGTTAGTAGACAATAATTTGTGAAAATTTCTACGTAATTATGTACTTTTCACGCTTATTGTTTCCAAAATTTATGATTTCGATATTGTTGGCAATCTGATTATTTTATAGTAGTAATACACTATGAAAGAATAAGGTAATTATTTATCTAGTATGTTAGAAAGCTTTTTCAAAAACTTCAGCTTATTTAGTGTTGAAGTTTTTACAAATGAACTAAATGACTTCAGCATCTTCTGCTGAAGTTTTTGAAAAAGCTTAATGACAAAACTAATGAATCCAGGACCAAAAAAACTTCAACTTATTTAGTGCTGAAGTTTTTACAAATGAACTAAATAACTTCAGCATCACAACACTTCAGCTACTAGAATGCTTAAGTTCAGCAATTACAAATAAAAATTTCAGCAAATAGAGAACAAAACTTCAGCACTAGAATGCTTAAGTTCAGCAATTACAAACAAAAACTTCAGCACACTTGGTTCAGCAATTTTTGCTACTTCAGGCCCGTCTACTAGAATGCTGAAGTTTGCGTGATTGTCTTTGCTACTTCAGGCCCGTATGCTGAAGTTACGCGAAAAATTAGGTACGCTTGCAATTTTTTTTGCAAAGCGGGTACAAGTTAAAACGTGACCCAAAAAGCGGGTATAGATGCAAATGTCGTGCCCTTTACGAGCAAACAAAGCCCAAAACTTGACCCCCCCCCCCCGACACCCCCCAATAAAATTACCTCCCATTAATTTATTAAAAATTTTGTGTTTGGGTGTGCAGTTGAGTGAACGCTGGTAGGTTTTCTTCTCTGTGGCTTGATAGTTGTGGGTTGGTGACATATTGAATTGGTTCAATTTGTGCTGTCTTGGCACATTTTGTGGCCCCATGCTGTAGTCCTTTTCTACTTCTTTTCAGTAAATCAAAAGTCACTATAGCTAGGATCTCCCCCATTATTTTTGTTACTTGAATTACTAGGCTAATGTATTGCGTAAAAGCTTTATAGATTCAAATATTTAAATAAAAGAGCCCCCGTGATACTAGCTAGCAGAACATATATAAACATGTTATAAATAGAATTGTATTTATGGTAAATGTCTATATTTAGAGAGATTCTAGGGTTCATTTCTTGGTGGCTAAGTCACCCTCTCCCTATAAATAGAGGGTTCTATTCTATTGTAATTCATCCCAAAATTCAATAAGAATTCTCTCCTTCTACTTTTCTCTGTAATACTCTTCTTCTTCTTTTATTATTTTATAACACGTTATCAGCACGAGACTCTAACCAATTGAGTAGAAGCTTTGGGATTGAGCATAATAATTGTCAATTATTCCATGAACTTCCTTCAAGATTAAATTCTGGATTTAAGGTAAGTATTTTACTTTATTTTTCTCTTTTAAATTCTTGAAATTCTATAATTTGATTTTATATACAAGCAAAGACAACAAAGTTTGATTACAACTCTAATGGAGTTTGTAAGAAATTATAACCACTCGAAGTGGTAAAATTTTTATATCTTGCCATGATCAAAGTCATGTATGATCGTGAGCACAAGAAGTGAAAACCCGTCCCATTGAATTTGCTCTATTCTCATTCCCTTAAGAGAATGTGATAGCAATATGTGATAAGTCTGAAAGAAGACAAAAATTTTACTATGAATGTATCAATGGATATGGACGTGGCAATAGACGAAATTATAATCGTCATCATTTGTGGTAATGAGAACAATAAGGATTCTCAAAATAATCTTTCACTCTGTGAAAAATATTTGTCATCGATTTGACATGAGATTTTGTAAAGCACATATAGATGATTATGGTTCATTCATGATGTGAATGTGACAACATCTGATTTATGAATACATATTCATTCTTCAAAGAATATGAACGTGCTAGTGGTAGTGAATATACCGCACTCACCTCTAAAAGGAGGTTTGAGATGATATAAGAAAATAATGTCATTATTATGGCATAAATGGTCATTGGTCACGTACTTATTGTATGCCAAAATATTTTGGCAATGTGATCATTTAAAGACAACGGTAATGCAAGAAACATATCTTGCATATAATTTTGACCATAACCATAATGGTATAACTTTCTCTTTAAAAGAGATATTCACCATATGGATGTTGATGAATATGTGGTAGTACCAAATGAATTGAGAGCTCTAGAAGAGCCAATTATACTATTTTGGAGAAAATTAATTATCAATAAGACGTTGTGTTGTAGTAAGTCTCAAAGAAACTTATTCAGTTTCCAAAGTATACGCGAAAGCGGTTGATTATATTGAGACTATAAATAAAGGAAAGATTTAATATCTTCTATTACTACAACTTGTAGCGGGGTAATATGTATGTGAAAAGCTACCCGCTTTATTCTCCAATTTGTACTACATAAACAAAAGAATACCACAATGAAGTGGATATTATTGATATAAAAACTCATATCACAATAAACTTGGAGTTTATTCATAATTGCACACATCATGGTGTAAACCTGAAGTTTATCAATATTGATAATTTATCCTTGGCATAATTGGTTTAGCCATGTTAATTCAAGTATGATGTGCAAAAATAAAAGAGAATTCACATGGGTAAATATTAAAGAACTAAAAAGTTCTTTACGAATTCTCTTACATTGCTTATTCTCATTAATTAATAGACCAATTAAAATTGGGATTGAATCCCATGAATGCTGGAAATATCAAAGGTGAATATGGGCCCATTCACCTGCCATGTATACCACATAAGATGCATCTATGAGATGGTTACATGTGCGATTATTATTAACCTGCAACCTGGCCGGTGTTTGCGAGGTAACTTGCTCAATAATTTAATATAGAGCATAATTTCCAGATTTTTTATTCAAGATAGTTCTTCTTGATAAGTTGGTTTACATCACAGTTGGTTTAGCAAAATGATTTATTGAGTACCTCCACTTAATAGCTAAACTATTGCTTATGAGAACAAAGTTATCTATATCAGTTTGATATACGTTATATACGAAAGTATATTATTTTCTCTCCTCACAAGTGGTTTAGGGTCAGGAACCAATTCCATCTTATTATTATTGATGTGCGGTGTATATTATGATTAACACCATAACGCACAAAGATGGGTTCTCAAAGTTGAGGAAACAAGTTAGTTTTTCTAACATGAGGGGGAGACAAGATACAACAGTTGAGAAAAAGTTACATGGAATGAATTATCATTTATACATCTAGATCCTCGAATAAAATAATATGAACTTGAAGTTCATAAAAGGATAATTCATGTGCAATTTATTGCAAAGCATGTCAGACGCATTTGCTGACCCAAAGAAAGTAACTATATTCTCATTGCAAATGCTCCTATTAAATCCTTGAAGTATTTAAATTGCTTAAAGCATATAGAATTCATGGTCATGAAGTACTACATCCTCAGTGCAATTTGTGCACAAATATATCTTGCTATAACTATATGCATGATAATATGATAGCAAGAGTTTTCACCTCTATGTGAAGATATTGAACTGACGATTCCAACAAGATCATATGAAGACAATCCATCTCTATCAAGAATGATGATTTCAAGGTGCAATATATTCATTCAAGTTAATATGGCTGATTTGTTCATCAAATCTCTATCAAAGATCTTTTGAAGATGGTGCACAAGATTGGAATGCAAATGCTTAAGGATGTGAATTGATGCTCTCATCAGGGGGAGTTAATACGCGTTGTACTCTTTTTCCCTCACAAGGTTTTGTCCCACTGGGTTTTCCTTGCAAGGTTTTTAATGAGGCAACCAAAAGGCGTATTGTTAGATATGTGTACTCTTTTTCCTTTACTAGAATTTTTTTCCCACTGGGTTCTATTTTAGTTAAGGTTTTAACGAGGCACACTATCTGTTGAATAGACATTCAAGGGGGAGTGTTATAAATAGAATTGTATTTATGGTGAATGTCTATATTTAGAGAGATTCTAGGGTTCATTGCTTGGTGGCTAAGTCACCCTCTCCCTATAAATAGAGGGTTCTATTCTATTGTAATTCATCCCAAAATTCAATAAGAATTCTCTCCCTCTACTTTTCTCTGTAATACTCTTCTTCTTCTTTTATTATTTTATAACAAAACCGCACTTGTCGCCCAATAAGTTCTAACGATATTTTTTTGTTAAATCAGTTAGTCCAAAAATATATACAATAAGTAATAAAATGGAATGTAAGGATATACTAGTATACTAAATAAGCATACAAAAGTTATTGATCAAATATAAGTAAGGTTGACTCTGGTAAGTAGAGGTGAATGGAGGATTTAAACATGAGTTCGATTTTTATATTTTTTCCACTGAACTCATTATAATCTTTAAGATTATTGGGTTAAAATATAAAATTTTAATAATTTTTCACGTATACAATTCTTAATATCAAAGTTTGTTATAAAAAAATGTTGGATTCCGTACCAATGCTTTTAAGAGGAAAACAATAAAGAGATCAAAGTTTTTGGAGGGAAGAAGTCTAGTTGGTTGCTCTTTATTGTCCACATATATAATATACATGTATTCTTTCGTTTAAAGAAGTATTCTTCAATAATTCATGGATATGTAGGGTCAGAAACGCGATAACCTTTTGTTATTGTTTCTATGCACATTTATGTTTGGTTTTTCTCGCTAGCTTTTATTACTAGCAGTACAAGATAAGACTAAGAATCAACCACGTGCTTCACGTTTATACTTTGTACCTTACCAGGCTACTTACTGATTGTGTATAAATCAAGGTTGTAACCCTTCGAACCAAAAGCACTCATCCCAGCAATGGCTTCTTCTTCTTCTTCTACTTTACCTTTATGCGCCAGTAAAACTCCCTCTTCTTCCTTCACCAACACCAACTCATCTTTCTTTGCAAAACCCTCTCAGCTTTTCCTTCATGGAAAACGTAACCAAAATTTCAAGTTCTCATGCAATGCCAACAGTGGCGAGCATGACAAAAACCTTGACGCTGTTGACAGGAGGAATGTCCTGTTGGGTTTAGGAGGGCTGTATGGCGCAGCTAATCTTGCGCCATTAGCTACTGCTGCTCCTATACCACCTCCTGATCTCAAATCTTGTAGCAAAGCCCATATAAATGACCAAGAGGAGGTTTCATACAGTTGTTGCCCCCCTATCCCAAGTGATATGGACAGCGTTCCATATTACAAGTTTCCTTCTATGCCCAAACTCCGTATTCGGCCTGCTGCTCATGCTGCTGATGAGGAGTACATTGCTAAATACCAGTTAGCCACTAGTCGAATGAGGGAACTTGACAAAGACCCATTTGACCCTCTTGGCTTCAAGCAACAAGCCAATATCCATTGTGCTTATTGCAACGGTGCTTACAAAATTGGTGGCAAAGAGTTACAAGTCCATTTCTCGTGGCTTTTTTTCCCTTTTCATAGATGGTACTTGTACTTCTATGAGAGAATCTTGGGCTCTTTAATTAATGATCCTACTTTTGGTTTGCCATATTGGAACTGGGACCATCCAAAGGGCATGCGTATACCTCCCATGTTCGATCGTGAAGGGTCTTCCCTTTACGATGCAAGACGTAACCAAAGTCACCGTAATGGAACCATAATCGATCTTGGTTATTTTGGTACCGAAGTCCAAACAACTCAACTGCAGCAGATGACTAATAACTTAACTATAATGTATCGTCAAATGATAACTAATGCTCCTTGCCCGTTGCTCTTCTTTGGTCAGCCTTACCCTCTAGGAACTGATCCCAGTCCAGGGATGGGGACTATTGAAAACATTCCTCATACTCCTGTCCACATCTGGGTTGGTAGTGGTCCTAACGAGAATAATGTGCAACACGGTGAGGATATGGGTAATTTTTACTCGGCCGGTTTAGACCCGCTTTTCTATTCCCATCACGCCAATGTGGACCGGATGTGGTCCGAGTGGAAAGCCTTAGGAGGGAAAAGAAGGGATCTCACGCACAAAGATTGGTTGAACTCGGAGTTCTTTTTCTACGATGAAAACCGCAACCCGTTCCGTGTGAAAGTCCGTGACTGTTTGGACAGTAAGAAAATGGGCTTCGATTACGCACCGATGCCAACCCCATGGCGTAATTTTAAGCCAATAAGGAAGAGCAATGCAGGGAAGGTGAATCTAAGTTCAGTTCCGCCAGCAAGCAGGGTGTTCCCACTCTCAAAGCTGGACAGAGCCATTTCATTTTCCATCGATAGGCCATCTTCGTCAAGGACTCAACAGGAGAAAAATGAACAAGAGGAGATGCTAACGTTCAACAACATTAAGTATGACGATAGCAAGTATATAAGGTTCGATGTGTTCCTCAACGTGGACAAGACTGTGAATGCGGACGAGCTTGACAAGGCGGAGTATGCGGGGAGTTACACCAGCTTGCCACATGTTCATGGAGATAATGCCTCTCATGTTACCTCTGTAACATTCCAGTTGGCCATCACTGAACTGTTGGAGGATATTGGGTTGGAAGATGAAGACACTATTGCGGTAACTGTGGTTCCAAAGACAGGTGGCGAAGAGATCTCCATTGAAGGTGTTGAGATTAAGCTTGTCGATTGTTAAATTAAACCTCGTGGATATGGTTCCAAATTATCTGAACGCAGTGTGTGCACTTTTGTTGTTAGAATCATCAGCTAGATTGCCTACTGTATTTCTAGCTGTTAATCTGGAATAAATAATGTTTTCCTTTCCTGGCAACTTTTTGTGTCATTATCATCTCTTCTTCATTTTTCTGGCCAGCTTGATTTCATTTTGGTGATGTCAAAAATCTTCAGATTGATTGCACATAATTTATAATTTACCTACCATCACTTGTTGCAATGTCGAGCCCTTTAAAGTCCCGTAAATATATTATCGAGGATAGAACATATTACAAAAAAATGATGTTGAGAAGAAATAGTTCAACAACGGGTTGAAGAAATTAGTGACCAGTTCCATTGATAAAATCTTCCAATATCTTTTAGTAATACACAAACCAGATGAAAAAACCAAGAAGAACTACAGAAAATAGTTAGATTAATTAAGTGGTTTTAATATGATAAAGGTTCTTAGCTATGGATTCAAGTGAACCTATTATTTTTCGCACAAAATAATATATATAAAAATGAAGACTTTCGGAATTTGTGGTCCTAAACAAGTCAAAAAGGGGTCCAGAGTATTTGTGTGGCTATAAAAGCTTCTCATTTAAGGGTAGAATTGTAAGTTTAAGCTAAATTGATACCAAATTTAGAAAGGGATCATTCATTTTGGAATGGACCAAAAAGGAAATAGGTTCGCATAAACTGGAACAGAGAGAGTAATATATATCATAAACCCATAATTTCATATGTATAATAAGTTCAATGTAAAAAATTTAAAGATTAAACTGTATACGGTCGGAATCAGGTATGCCCGATATCCCAGGCTCGAGGGGTCGCCTTAAGCCCGAGTTCAGGTAAGGTCGAGTTCGAGCTCGGTGGACCAGACTCGAGCTCGAAGACAGAGTGCAATGCCCAAGGATCGAAGTGCGATGACTATCGAAGCCGAGTATGCTCAACCCCGAGATAATGCCGTTACGGATTTGTAACAGAATGAGCAAGATTCCTGCCACGTCCCTAAGATCATGGCGTAAATCCCGGAATAGATTTGTACGAATCCGTACTAGGCGGTTAGAAAGCTGTCCCAATAAGATTCTTTACTGTAAATGGAAATGTACCTTATTTAGGGTTCCCCTATTATATAAAGGGGACCCTAATCATTTGTAAACATTATATAATCATTGGCAAAGAATATACTCTTTTACTTTTCTCGCTCATTGTTCATCAGAATTGTCCTTCAGCTTTATTATTCTTGTTTTATTGTTCTTAGTCTGTCTCGAGGTCACTTTGGCTCGAGGTCGATACCGCCTAGCAACACTGGTTTGATTATACTTCTTGGTCATTGATTAGTATTGAACTAAATCATGTATCTTTAAAACCACAAATCAAATTTAATTGTTACTCGTATTTTCGAGGTAAACAGTTTGTCACCCACCGTGGGGCTAAAGATAATAGTGATTATTTCAGTACTGATTCTGATAACACACGTTATTTTCACACTTGTTCTTGTCAATAATTTTTTGTTCTCAGGATTAAACATGTCAAACTCGCAAAACGCACCTGTTCACGACAATGAAGGTCTTGGATATCATGGGTAAATAATAATGTAGGGGTCGGTGTACCACCAATAAACCCTGGGAAAGCGCCAAATGTGGAACCAGTTGATGTTAGTTCACACATTGCTTTGAATGCAGATTTAGGCACAGACCCCGGAGAAAGTGTACGCAGGGAAGCCTAATCTGAGGGCCAAGGAACACAAGGTATAGGAGATGGGGGAGTCAGCCTCCAAGTGATATTCGAGATGTTGCAAGCTCAACAGATTGCCATCGCTCAACTTCAAAGTCAGAATAAAACTCCGAGTACAGCTGAACCAGAAAACACTCTCGACGTGCTGAACCATCACTAGAGAGCTCAAATGAAAATGGCTTCCGGACTGACCCCACTATTATGAGGATGCTCGAAGAGCTCACCAAGAGGATCGAGTCCGGGGAAAAGAAGATTGAGGACAATGATAAAAAGGTGGAGGCTTATAACTCCCGTGTTGATCAAATACCGGGGGCACCCCCGGTCTTGAAAGGTTTAGATGCCAAAAAGTTCATACAAAAACCATTCCCTCAGAGCGCGGCTCCGATGCCCATTCCCAAAAAGTTTCGCATGCCCGATATACCCAAATATAACGGGATAACCGACCCTAATGAACATATTACTTCATATACTTGCGGGATTAAAGGAAACGACCTGAATGATGATGAGATCGAGTCAGTATTATTGAAAAAATTTGGAGAAACTTTGTCGAAAGGGGCCATGATTTGGTACCACAACTTGTCCCTGAACTCTATCGATTCGTTTGCTATGTTAGCTGACGCTTCGTGAAAGCACACGCTGGGGCCATAAAGGTGGCAATGAGGAAATTGGACGTTTTTAAGATAAAATAGAGGAACGACGAGAAGTTAAGGGAGTTCGTGTCTAGGTTTCAGATGGAGCAAATGGAATTACCACCGGTCTCGGATGACTAGGCAGTACAAGCTTTCATGCAGGATTTGAATGAACGAAGTTCGATTGCGCCTCGACAATTAAAGTAGAATCTAATCGAATATTCGACTACGACGTGGTCCGACGAGAATAATCGTTATCAATAAAAGATCAGGGTCGAGGACGACCAGTTGGGAGCCCCCTCGGGTTCAGTTCATCCTAATAGATTGGCAGCCAAGCCCACAAGGGATACAGACAGGGAATCGAGATCAAACAAGGAACGGTATCAGCCGTATGTCGATCGGAGAAACAACGGCTCAGGTCGTAACGCTCCTCGGAATGATCAGAGAAATGATCAAGGTCAGAGATCTCGGGGACTCATGAGTAAGAATGGTTCGATAAATATACCGACCCTACGGAGGCACCTCGATTGTCAGACTATAATTTCAGTGTAGATGCATCGGGGATCGTGTCAGCTATTTGAAGAATCAAAGACACCAGATGGCCCACGCCTATACAAACCGATCCTTCTCAAAGGAATCCAAACTTGATTTGTAAGTGTCATGGCACACATGGCCATAGAACCGAAGACTGCAGGCAGCTATGGGAGGAGGTAGCTCGGTTGTTCAACGAGGTTCGAGAATTTCTCAGTGATTGAGCTAAGAACCACTTCAGGGAGAGAGATGCGAGCAGAAAAAATGAGCAGGAAGAACCACAACATGTAATCCATATGATCGTTGGCGGTGTCGATGTCCCACAAGGACCTGTATTCAAACGCACCAAGGTGTCGATCACCAAAGAAAAATAGACTCAGAGCTATGTGCCCGAGGACGTCCTATCATTCTATGACGAGGAAGCGGAAAGCATATCTCAGCCACACAATGACGCCCCGGTAATCTCTATCCTTTTAAATACAATTTTAAGTTAAACGTGTTCTAGTGGATCCAGGTAGCTCAGCAAACACAATCAGATCGAGGGTCGTAGAACACCTCGGCCTATAAGATCAGATTGTACCTGCATCCCGGGTCCTAAATAGTTTCAACATGGCAAGCGAAACAACAAAGGAGGAGATAATCCTACCAGTGAACGTAGCGGGACCATACAAGATACAAAATTCCATGTCATCGAAGGCGACATGAGGTATAATGCACTCCGCGGGAGACCATGGATACACAATATGAGGGAAGTACCTTTAACTCTTCATTAGATGATGAAGTTCCCAACGGAGGATGGTGTGAAAACAGTCTACGGAGAGCAACACGCTGCAAAGGAAATGTTTGCAGTCGATGAAGTGACGCCGATACCAGAGCATTGGTCCACGAAAAAGTCGAACACCAAAGGTAAGGAGATGGCTAAATAGCAATCACCACCCCCAGCCTCGTCGGAATCAGAGAAACAGGTAATCGAAGATGAAGAAGAGGATTTCCTTACTCCTCGAACTTTCGTCGTTCTCAAAGAGTTCGATGCAACCAAGTCAACGGCCGAGGAACCGGAGCAGGTCATACTGATCGAATACATGCCCGAGAGAAAGCTATACCTAGGAACGGGATTAACCCCCAAACTCCGAAAAAAACTCATTCAATTTCTTATTGATAATATGGATTGCTTTGCTTGGTCCCATTTAGATATGACAGGGATTCTACTGGAAATAACAACACACCGGCTAAGCCTCGACCCCAGGTTCAAACCGATAAAGCAAAAAAGGAGGCCCAGTCCGAGGTGAAGCATGCATTCATAAAGGACGAGGCAACCAAACTTCTTAAAATAGGATCTATTCAGGAGGTAAAATACCCTGAATGGTTAGCCAACGTAGTTGTAGTTCCTAAAAAGGAAACAAACTTAGAATGTGCGTAGATTACAAGGATTTAAACAAATCATGCCCAAAAGACTCTTTCCCATTGCCCAACATCGATCGTATGATCGATGCCACGGCCGGCCACGTGATCCTAACTTTTCTCGACGCCTACTCCAGGTACAATCAAATTCAGATGAACCCGGAGGACCGGGAAGACCTCATTTATCACTAAGTTTGGAACGTACTGTTACAATATAATGCCCTTCGGGCTAAAAAATGTTGGAGCTACATACCCACGCCTAGTTAACAAGATGTTCGAGGAACAGATAGGTAAGTCGATGGAATTTTACATTGATGATATGTTGGTTAAGTCCCTACGCGCAGAGGACCATTTAACTCATTTGCAGGAAACATTCAAAATATTGAGGAAGTATTACATGAAGCTCAACCTAGAAAAATGTGCCTTCGGGGTCGGCTCGGGAAAGTTCTTTGGCTTCATGGTGTCTGATTGGGGAATCGAGATCAACCCCGACAAGATCAAGGCCATCGAGGACATCACGATCGTGGATAGTGTAACGGTCGTGCAAAGGCTAACATGACGAATAGCCACCTTGGGTCGGTTCATTTTGAGGTCATCAGATCGAAGTCATAGGTTCTTTTCCTTGATCAAAAAGAAAAAGGATTTTGTGTGGACCCCAGAATGCCAACAAGCCTTAGAAGAATTGAAGCGGTACTTATCGAGCCCGCCTTTGCTTCACACCCCGAAGGTAGATGAAAAGCTTTACTTATATTTGGCAGTATTCGAGATAGCGGTAAGTGGGGTACTAGTTCGAGAAGAGCAAGGTACGCAATTCCCTGTTTATTAT